GTTTAGAGGTTTCGGGGTTTGGGGTTTCGAGGGTCCTAAGCCCTAATTAACCCTAAAGCCGGGGTTTTCTGGGGTTTAGCGAATATGCAGTTTAGGGTTTTAGGATTGCACATGCGTCGGCAGTGCTGCTGCTGCTGCTGCTGCTGCTGCTGCTACTACTACTACTACTACTACAGATAGTATCAGGTGCTGGTATGAGCAGCGAAAAGTAGTGCTCGTAGTGCTAACACGCTACTCGGGCTAATGCTATGAAGTGTGATGAATGTTCATTCGTATTTGTGGGTAACTACAGGTACTGTGCCTTTGTCATAGTAAATCGTGTTGTCCAACTAGGGCCGGCCTTGTAGGGTGGAGGGGTTTGGGGTGTCACCACCGAGTTTTGATACTTTAGGCCATTGCGGGCTTGTGGGTTTAAGGTGAAGGGCGTTCCTGGACTTCTTTGCAATACTAGGATCTGTCCCAAGTCCCAAGGACAACCCACTCATGCACGAAGACGTCTAGGGCCAAGGATCTTTCTACATAGTCGCATAACATCTTGGGGATCAAGTCCATACAGACTGCTGCCCTTGACCCTGCTTGGGATTCGGCTGTAAGCCTGAAAACACTCAAACCCCAAAGTGCAAAAGCTCCAAGCTTGAACACCGAAACCTTTACCACCCAAGCCCACAACCTTAAGCCTGCCTGCCCATACTTTGGGTCTTGAAACCCTCAAACCCAAACCCTAAACACAATGAGCCCCAAAACCGATTCGCTGCAAAGGAGCCTGGACACAAAGGCACTGAAAAAGGCCCAACTCGAACCCAGATCCCTAAACCTGAGATGTGCGAGAGATTCAGGTTGCGGGGACTCCCCTTTGCTAGCGACGCGAATCCCGGGGCGCCAGTACCTGGGTGTTCTGGATTACGGGGTTTAGGGCTTCTGGGGTCTGTAGTAGGAGTAGTATGTAGTAGGGAGCAGTAGGGCTTATAAGGGCTTAGGGGGTTTAGGGTTTAGGATCTATAGGGGTTGCAGTTATGGGTCTTTCTGAGCGAATGCTGTAAGAGTTTCTGCAAGGGGCCAGATAATAAGGGGTCCTAGAAAGAATCTAAAGGGTTTGAGCTGGTGCTCCCTTGTCCTACGCATGCACCTCTACCGGGTCTCCCTCTACATACCCTTTCTTCAAGGGGTTTCTTGGGATCCGAGTTCTTCTTGAAGCCAGAAAGTGTCATCCCAGGCATCAGAAACATCCTCGGGAGGAAGGGGGGGACAACAGACAAAGATGAGTTGCTGAAGACTCCAACCCTCCTCCGACTGAAGCCCTGCATTCAAACCCGGCATCAACGTTTGTAGTAATTCTTTGGTCATCCTACAGGCCCTAAACTTTAAACCCTAAACCCTAAACGCTAGACTTAAACAAAAAAACCCTAAACCCTAAACCCCTAAACCCTAAAACATAAACACTTTCGAGCCAAGGTGGAGTTCGATCTCCCGAAGTCGGGGCGGCTGAGTCTGGGGACGAGTTCCCAGGCAGAGGGGTTTCACAGGGCGTGGGGTTTAGGCTTCAAGCGATTTAGGGGGTTTAGGGGTTTAGGGTTTAGGGTTCAAGCGGTTTAAAGGGGTGAGTGTGGTTTATAGGGTTTAGGGCCTCGGGTTTAGGATTCAGGGCTGAGGGGGGTGTTGTAAGGGCTCTCCTCAGAAGCTTGAAGGGGGGGGGTTGGGATTTCATGCTTTGGCGGTTGGGACAACAGTTTGTGGGTCAGTCCTTTTTGGGCATCAGGGCCCTAAACCTTAAACCCTAAGCCCTAAACCCTAAACCCTAAGCCCGAAGCCCGAAGCCCTAAACCGTAAACCCTAAGCCCTAAACCCTAAACCCAAAGCCCTACTTACACCCTAAACCCAAAGCCTAAACCCTAAACCCTAAAGCCTAAGCCCTATAAACCCTAAACCCTAAACGAGGATCAGAGGTTTAGGAGTCTGAGGTTCTTGGGGGTGGCCTGGGGTTGGCTGCTGGTGTTGGTCGCTGTAAGGTGCTACTTTAGAAGCCTCAATAAATACCATCGTTCTTCCTTATAAGGGCTCCTAAATATGATGATGCTATAATGTAACCCAGAAGCCTATTCTAAATATTCAGGCCCCTTTATTCTTACTTCGTTGCCATGATTCGCCGTGTTTTTGCTCCTCTGACCTTTGCAATGCCTCATGACCAATCCCTCCAGACCAGACCCTCAAGCACCTAAGCCCCTTCCGATACGAGCTTATGTGCCTACATAGTCGAAAGTAGAGCTGAAAGCTCCCTGAGCCTGCAAAGCCTTGTAATACCGCGGTGCCCTGACCCCTTAGGGCAGGAAGCCCTAAACCCCTAAATCCAAAACCCCAAACCCGTCACCCCTGAACCCTAAACCCTATACCCCAAACCAAGCCCCTAAACCCTATACCCTAAACTAAGAAACCCCTAAACCCTAAACCCCAAGCCCGTCCC